GTTTTAGTTACATGTACATGTAAATCATATAGTACGCCACACGTTTAACACAAAGTGAATAAATCATGGGTATCTGAATGTCTGCAATACTCTACATGACATACATGTACATGTAGATGTATGTACGTTACATTTGTATTTATATTTGCCTTTGCTTGGAATTTAAGTATGTAAAACCATGTTTTAAAAAAATACAACCTCAAAAAAAAAAAGCCCCCCTGAGCTCCGAAATAGCCACCGCGAAATAAATAAGGGGGGGGGGGGGCTATTTTTTTAAGGTAAAATCTGAAAAGAGCCCTCGTAAAAAAAAAAAGTAATTTTTTGGTTGGGACACAATCTGTTTTAGTGTTGGGGTAAAAATCACTTCTCATTATTAAAATTAGATGGTCTTTTAGTAAATGTTCTGTCCTTTCTTTCTCTTGGTCTTACTCATAGACTTAAAATTTATCTGAAATTTAATAGGGGTCTACTCTAAGACCCCCCCCCCCCCTCCCCGAAAAAAAAAATGTTCACAAATGAAAAACTCATTCATTTCCCAAATTCCTGTTCTTCTCTTATCTTGTTGTGGATCCATATTGAGTGATTTCAAGTACAGTGTTCGGTGTTGGTGTTGAGAGCTTGGAAAGGCTGCTGAACCGAGCTCCAACACCGACGGTCAGTTTAGAAGAACAATAGGCCTACCAATCACGCATGCGCGTTATCGATAGCTCAACACCAGCCTCAACGCCGAGTGACATCCTACTCTACAGGCGAAAAGGCTTGCGATAAAAGCATAATCCATTCAGAAATTCCAAAAAATAACACCATGTCGAATATCAAATGGAAAATGATATGAAAAAAATCAATAGATAAAATATCATTTCTCTTGAAATACATATGTAGCTCCCAGGATTTACTTCTGTTTCGACTTTAAAATGGATTTTTACCTTAGCATGATCGTGAGATTCGTGCCAGATGTCCGCATAGTTACCTGCATAGTTACTGCAACACCAACACCGAACTTGAAATCATGAATTTCCCAATCCCTAGGGGCTGGTGTTGGTGAATGGGAAAATTACACATGCACACGTAAATCGTCAACACCAATCGCGATACTCGGTTCAGCAGACGACATTCAACACCAGCCCTCAACAGAGACTACTGGAAATACGTCATATTTCCCGAGATCAATCCCAACACCAGCCTGATTTCAAGTTCGGTGTTGTGGCTGGTGTTGGTGTTCTCACAACACCAGCTTTCAACACCGAACTTGAAATCACTCACTGATCACTGTGACTACCAAACAATGCAATGTAATAATAGTATAGGCCTAGACTAGACCTCTAGTCTAGGCCCTATATTCAAATGGTTCTACAATGTTAATGCTCTGGGCTTTGGATAAAATATATCAAACAACATCATCACTTTCACAGACATTCCCAAGCTCATTACATTGTCATTGACTTTGCACAGACAATTCAACAACAAACTTCCCGCATCCATTATCATTTATAACCTGATAACACAAAAATTGATGCGCGGGACTACAGTTTACGAGAAAACGATACACCGAGTTCCGGTCTGTTCAGATTTACGGTTCATACATGGTGTAAAAAATAGATTTTACTCACCACAAAGCATTTGCAATGAGAACCTCCTCTGGACGAACCCACATCGTGATGTTTTAGGACTTTCTCGAGGAAATTAAACTTGTTTGAAGTTCCTTTAAAAACGTAAACATCCGCTCTCCTTCTCCTCCTTCTAGAAATGACGTCAGCAACTTGACTAGTCGATATCGTTATCACATGTTGAAGGAAGAAAAATGACTCCCCCCCCCCCCCCCCTCGTAATTTAATCATATTTCATTGACCACTATACAGTGGCGGATCCAGGGGGGGAAACGGCCGCGGCCCCCCCCCTATTGGCGGCGCAAAAAAAAAAAAAAAAAAAAGGAGAAGAGAAGAAAAAAAGGAGAAGATAAAAGAAAGGAGAAGAGAAAAGAAAAGAGAAGAGAAAAGAAAGAAGAGAGAGAGAGAGTAAGAAGAAAAAAGAAGATCCCCCCTCCCCCCCCCCCCCCCCCCCCCCACCTCACTCCCACTCCGGGGTCGGAGGGACCGATTTTGGGTTCCCAAAATTTCCGATAAAGGGTTACTTTTCACGCAACAAAGTCCGGCCCGTAATACACACACATCCGGCCCGCACTGACTTTAAACACCGAAGATAAAGGGGTGCTTTCAAATTAAGAGAGGGAACATGCATGCGCGTACCCTAGATAACACTGAGTGGGTGGGAAGGGGAAGAGAAAAGTCGGGTGAGAAAGGGGAAAAGACAACGAAATGGCGCTCAGTGACATTAACGACGAATAAGGGAAAAAAACTGTAATCGGGAGATTTGGGGTCATTCCAGAAGGCTTGGGAAACGTTATTGAATAGAGGAGCCACGGATTCAAAGTTAAACGTTACAAACAGCCTCTGCTTTTTGAAAAAAATTGAAAAGGGCACAATATTTTGGATGTCTTTCAAATAGAAGCTATATACTAAACAGTCAAATTCTAAATTAACGGTATAGGGCCGCTTCACAACTCTTATTTTGCCCTTCATTTGGATTCAGCTCATACCAACTCGCTTGTGCTTATATTTGAACTCATGTTGGTAGTGATAATGGACAGCGGCGGCGATCCTGGGCCCGATAGAGGGACACGTCCCCCCGGAAATTTAGATATTTAGCTAGAAAGAAATATACATGTAGCGAGAAGAAAGTACATATTGGAGTAAAGGATTTTCTAGAATGCATAATTTCAGCATTCTACATTGCAAAATCTCGCTTGGTCGCTACGCCCCGGCCCTCGCCCGATAACACAAAACTAAGATATGACACTCCCGGTCGCGATTATTTCATGGTTGGTGTATAAATAGATCTTTTTTTCCCCTTTCATTTCTACTGACCTAATTGTATGCTATCACAATCATAACTGTTTCATTTTCCCTTTAAAGCATGCGTAGCTAGGGGCGGTAGGGGCAGTAAGAGGACATAGGACGAAAAAAGGAGCAGACAAAGAAACATTTTTGACAAGTCTAAAACGGTACAACAAATCATCTTCTTTCTCTAATAATTCAATGAAACGTCAAAGCTTCCGCGCTTCGCGCGGAGGGGGGGGGGGGGGAAACTGAATTCAGACAATGATTAAGAACCGAGAACGGAACAACGAATCGTCTTCTTTCTCTAATAATTTAATGTAACGTCAAAGCTTCTGCGCTTCGCGCGAGAGAGAGGGGGGGAACTCAGTTCTGACGAGGATTAAGAGTCGAGAACGGTACTCTTTCTCTAATGATTTAATGAAACGTCAAAGCTTCTGCGCTTCGCGCGAGAGAGAGGGGGGAACTCAATTCTGACAAGGATTAAGAGTCGAGAACGGTACTCTTTCTCTAATGATTTAATGAAACGTCAAAGCTTCCGCGCTTCGCGCGGAGGAGGAAACTGAATTCAGACAATGATTAAGAACCGAGAACGGAACAACGAATCGTCTTCTTTCTCTAATAATTTAATGTAACGTGAAAGCTTCTGCGCTTCGCGCGAGAGAGGGGGGGGGGACTCAATTCAGACAAGGATTAAGAGTCGAGAACGGTACTCTTTCTCAAATGATTTAATGAAACGTCAAAGCTTCCGCGCTTCGCGCGGGAGGGGGTATGGAAACTGAATTCAGACAATGATTAAGAGTCGAGAACGGTACTCTTTCTCTAATGATTTAATGAAACGTCAAAGCTTCCGCGCTTCGCGTGGGAGGGGGTATGAAAACTGAATTCAGACAATGATTAAGAATCGAGAACGGTACAACGAATCGTCTTCTTTCTCTAATAATTTAATGAAACCTCAAATCTTCCGCGCTTCGCGCGGGAGAGGAAAGGGGGGGGGGGACTCAATTCAGACAAGGATTAAGAGTCGAGAACGGTACTCTTTCTCTAATGATTTAATGGAACGTCAAAGCTTTCGCGCTTCGCGCGGGAGGGGGTATGAAAACTGAATTCAGACAATGATTAAGAATCGGGAACGGTACAACGAATCGTCTTCTTTCTCTAATAATTTAATGAAACGTCAAATCTTCCGCACTTCGCGCGGGAGAGGGGGGGAATTCAATTCAAACAAGGATTAAGAGACGAGAACGGTACTCTTTCTCTAATGATTTAATGAAACGTCAAAGCTTCCGCGCTTTGCGCGGGAGGGGGTATGAAAACTGAATTCAGACAATGATTAAGAATCGAGAACGGTACAACGAATCGTCTTCTTTCTCTAATAATTTAATGAAACGTCAAATCTTCCGCGCTTCGCGCGGGAGAGGGGGGGGGGGGGAACTCAATTCAGAAAAGGATTAAGAGACGAGAACGGTACTCTATCTCTAATGATTTAATGAAACGTCAAAGCTTCCGCGCTTCGCGCGGGAGGGGGTATGAAAACTGAATTCAGACAATGATTAAGAATCGAGAACGGTACAACGAATCGTCTTCTTTCTCTAATAATTTAATGAAACGTTAAGCTTCTGCGCTTTGCGCTGGAGGGGGGAATCTGAATTCAGAGAAGGATTGAGGGTCAAGAATGGAACAACGAATTATCTTCTTTCTCTAATAGTTTCATTAAACTATGAAAGGTCAATGCTTCAGCTTCATGTTTCAGGGGGGAGAGCAGGGGGGAGAGCAGGGGGGGAAAGAGCAGGGGGAGGAACTAAATTCAGACAAGGATGAGGAGTCGAGAATGGTACAACGAATCCTCTTCTTTCTCTAATAATTTCATGAAACATTAAAGCTTCTGCGCTTCGCGCGTAATAGGGGGGGGGGGGGAGGGGAACAGCGAGCTGCCCGAATATTAATTTGTTATATCTTTTCTCGTATATTTTGGTGATAAATAACACTTTCACAAAATACATATTATCCTCAAATTTTTGCTCGCTCGCTTCGCTCACTAGCGAATTGTGAAACCAGAAAATTACTTTTTCGGGCAAGAGGCTTCAGCCCCCCCCCCCCCCCCGGATGAAAATGTCAAAAAAAAATGGTGCTTCTAATATGACCTTGTCAGTATTGGTACGTTGAGTTGAAAAACGGTCTGCGCAATTTTCAAATTTCCGGCCCCCCCCCCCCCCCCCCCCCCCCCCCCCCCCTATTGGAAAATCCTGGATCCGCGCCTGCTATACACACACAAACACCTACTTTATTTTAATATAGATAAATGAAACATTTAAAAAAGTATTGGGGGGACAGCGGCCGGAGTAAAAAAGGAGGGGGTTTTAAAATGTAAAATCGCGCCGAAAAAAAATCGCAACGACTCAGCCAGCCGCTGAATGAGGGGGGTGGGGGGGGGGGGGGGAGAGAGGGGGAGAGGGGGGGGGGGGGTGAGGTCACCTGTTTTGGGATCAACCTTTAGCACAATTTTTATTTTATTTTAATAAAACAAATTTGAGGGGGTTGCCCCCCCCCCCCCCCTGCGTACGCGCCTGCCCGATACTAGCGGACTAATTTCCATGACAATTGCAACAAAATAAAAACCCATTTTATTCCCAAAACGGTTAGGCCTACAAAATTGCTGCTGTATAATTGAATGTAACCCGATTTGATTTTCAATTCAATTCAATTCAATTTTATTTCGCAATATAAAAATCAAAATATACAAAGTAACAGTAAATTTTAACTATGTTTACAAAGGTTATATGCGGGGCTTTCCATGAAGGTTGCGAAAACCTGTGAAGTTGGATCGCCCATTAAAGAATGAAAAACAAATACAAAAAGAAATATAACATATTATAAGCACACAACAATAAATTAAATAAAAATAAAAATTAAACAATAAGTACAAACACTTCAACTATCTATAAGACAAGAGAAATTAAAATAGAGAGAAGAAAAACAATATATAAAGGGGGAAAAGAAAGGAAAGGAAAACAAGATAACAATGAAAGAGGGTTCAGATATACAATTTAGAAGAAAAAAAATTCAACAACTGAGCTGATTAGTAATTATTTAGTAGTAAGATTTTATATTGTTTTCTAAAGGAAGATATGAATTGTGATTTCGTTATTACTTGGGGAATCATATTCCACTGTTTAGGACCTAGATAACTCATTGATTTAGCTTCATAACTAGACTTAACAGACCATAAATGAAATTTGTTGGAAAGCCGTGTATTATAATTATGAATTTGACTATTATATTGAAAGAGGTCTGAAAAGGGGGCAGGTAACAACTTGTTTTTATATTTGTACATGAACGTTGCGATTTCTTGCTTATTTATATCATATATATTTAATAACGAAAGCTTCTTAAACAAAGGTGCTGATGGTGCTAGATAATGAGAATTGGTAGCTATTCTTAAAGATTTCTTTTGAACTTTAAATAGTGAGTCTAATTCAGTTTGTGTTGCATTAGTGGCCCATACAATATTACAATATTTCAAGTAAGGGAAAATAATGGAATGATATAAAGTTATCAAATTTTCGGGTAACAAACTATATTTTAGCTTATTTATCAAGCCAGCATTTCTGCTGATCTTATGTAAAACATTTGTGATATGGTCCTTAAATCCCAAGCAATTATCTAATACGACACCCAAGAAGTTAACGGAATTACTTAATTGAATAAGTTTATTATTAATGTAAATGGGAATATTATCGTTATCAATTAAAGGACCGTTATTGCTAGCTATATCGGAAATTTTGGAAATTTTAGAAATTTTAGATCCTATATTATATTTAGTTTTTCGAAAATAAACACATTTAGTTTTGTCA